TAGGGAAACAGTGGCCTCAAACCAAAGGACAATGAAGTTACTTCCAAACCTTGGCACTGGCCCATCAACTACCAGGTATATTGATCAATACTCCTTCCTTTCTGTTTTCAAGTGCTCTTGCTGTGCTTCTTGAAGCATAGCACCTCTTAATTACATTGAAGATGTTGTCAGCTTTATTTTATAGCACCTGAGCTGCATGGATGGGAATTAGTCTCACCTTCGACACTGCAAAATACAAACTGGATTGATGCAAACCCTTTTTACTCCCTTCTGGTCTCTTTCCTCAGGGCCTGCGTTTTTCTGGTGTCAATGAGACTGATTACCGGGTTTATTTGCTGGGAAACCCGGTAAGTTGGGGTGGGAGGCTCCAAGCCCATGTCTTTAGCAAATTTTAGCTTACTCTTGCTTCTGCCAGTGACAATGATTCTCTTCCTCCTCCTCCTCCTTTTGGACTGCCTCTCTCGTTCTCTTATGCTTGCAGGTGGCTTTTCATTTTCTCTCACATGCACATACCTATGTCCAGCCTAAAGCCCCGAATCTTTCTTTTTTTCCGATGTAGGTGATTTGGTGGCTAAATCTGGTCACTATTGGGTTATATCTTCTGATGGCAGTTTCCACTGCAGTGACCCTGAAGAGAGGTGTCCAGCTGACATCTGAACTCAAAGGTGAGGTTAGTCTTCCTATCCCTCCTGCACTATAGAATCCCTATTATAACATCCTGGTCTCCTGATACAGGAAAGTTCATCTTGGGACTCCTGTATTAAAAAAATCCTTTTTTTATATTGTATTAAAACCCTGGGGGTTGAACAAAATACACTTGAGGCAGCTGTATGTACAAACAATAAGCTATATAGTGCTTTCAAAGTGTAGCACTGAAGGATGTGACTGTTAACAAAGGGTTCCATACTAGAAGTAATTACCCTGAATAAATCTCAGTTTTTGCATGGCAGACCATTCCTGGTGAGTTGCCAGATTTCCTAAGCCTGTAAGACTTGATCAGAAATCCTCAAGTCAGCAAGGGCCCTGAGACACCGACTTAGCCGAAGACAAGAGTTCTGGAAGTGGCTCACAGGCAGGAGATGTGATCAGTGGCTCCTCAAAAGTCTTACCACTCCTTTGCTGGAGAGTACGGAGCTGGACAGGGTATAAGCTGGCATCTTAAGGTGATACAAAGATATGAGTCTCGGTAGGCTTTTGCTGCCTTGTTTTCTTGCAGGAGACAAGGGCTTGGATGAGTCAGTAGCTCACCTGCCAGCTCTGCTCTGCAGGTGATCACCCAGCCTAACATGGGAGTTGCTTATGAACTGCTCAAGAGGCAAGGTGTTGGCCACAATTGCAGTCAGTTACACTGGTTACTGCGGCTCAGAAATGACCAGATGTGTATCTGTTGGAAAGACTATTTGATCTGGACATGTCAGTAGGAGAAGGTGATAAAACGTATGTCAGGGAAACCTTCCTGATGCAGAGATCTACTGGTCCCATAGTTTTTAGCTTGTTCTTTATTGCAGGCTTCCAATATGTTTTTTTCTAGTAGAGATACTTACCCACATAAGTTACTGATAATAGGCTTCCTTTTCACAAATGCCTTTTGCAGGCACCTTAAAAGTGTGTGAATGGCAGGACTTTGTGTGTCAGGGGTGGGAAACCACTGAGCTTAGGTTATTGAGCAATGTCCACAAGGAAAAGAGCGGGAGCTTCATATCTCAGATAGTTTAATAGTGAACAGGAGAGATCTTCAACAAAAATACTGCAAGGAGCTACCAGTATTGGCTGTAAGGGAGACACATCAGTTGGATCAATGCCCTGCTCTCAAGCTCTGCATGTGCTCTGTACTACTGTAGTATGCACGGTATTTTGAAATGAGAAATGTTTCCTGATATTTATGAAAAGCAAATGACAAATGCAAGAGATACAATGATCCTTTATTATGTCCAATGCCAAGGTTGTAGAGCTTTTCACAAACCCTAATAAGTCATACTTTGACCATTCCAGTTTACATCAATGGTTGCTTCATTTTGTAGATCTCTTTGTGGGAAGTGAATTTTAAAATGCATTGTGAAACTATTCAGTTACACAATAAGTTATTGGCTAAGCTGCATGCAGACACCAGAGCTCTTAGTCCCTTCCCCAGGCTCTGAAAGCTGGCAACATTTCTTCCCAGGTAGGGCTGGCAAAGTGATCATCTCAATGGCTTGTAGTCTCATTGCAGAGAGAATAAAAAACATCAGAAACTGGAATGACGTAATTGGTCTGATGTACGTCCTGAGAAACTGCAAGTTCAGTCTTAACATAGAGCATGGTCAACCTCCTGCCAGTCCCTTAAGACTTACGCCTTTGTATATCTTTTCTGATAACTGTTCTCCTGAAAAGTGTTTGTATGTTTATAAAGAATACAGCTAGGATGTTGCAGAGCCTTGGAGCAATTTCAGACCAGTACATGACTTCCTGCAAAGATCATTCCTGTTTACTTACTATGATAAGGCTCGCAGATAGGCACTGTAGTTGAGTTTTTCTCTGCTGAAGTCTGTTTATTTGTGTTCCAGAACTGTCCAGAGTCGTGCTACGTGGTGGAGGGCAGATCATGCTGGGCTGGCTCCTTCATTACCTCCCTTTTTTTATGATGGGCCGAGTTCTCTACTTTCACCACTACTTTCCTGCCATGCTTTTTTCCAGCATGTTGACAGGTAAATACTAGAGTCTGGGAGAAGACAATTCTGTTAAATGGAATGTTTTCAGACTAAACGATATATTTTTTCTTTATAGTTTTTCTGCTTGCTTGTGCAAAGTGCTTGAAAACATTCACTAGTTCAAAATGTTTTTCACAAAGCAGCTTGCAGTGCCAAATTGTCTTTTGTTACCACCCTGAAGAGGTAGTCATATCTAGTGCTTAGGGCATTTAAATTTCGAGACGTGATTCCTATTCTCTGCTATATCACTGTTCTTACATATGCTTTTATACAAGTTACTTCCCTTTGTTTGCTGCCCCCACTTTTCTGCATGTCTGTTTGTAATTCAGTCTTGGTAGTTTTTCCTGTGATTTTGTACCTACTTAGCATGCTGTAGCCCAGATCTCTTTTGCATTTACTGAAATGGAGAGGTAGGAAAAAAAAAAACCTTCTGCTGACACAAAACAATCCGTATAGTTCTGAAGGCCCTCGTGGGACCCCACCTAGAGTACCGCATCCAGCTCTGGAGCCCTCAGCAGAAGAAAGATGTGGACCTTGTAGAACAGATCCAGCGAGGGCCACTAAGATGATCAGAGGGCTGCAGCACCTCTGCTATGAAGACAGGCTGAAGGAGCTGGGGTTGTTCAGCCTGGAGAAGAGAAAGCTCCGGGGAGACCTTATAGTGGCCTTCCAATACTTAAAGGGGGCCTGTATAAAAGAGGGGGAGAGACTCTTTATAAGGGCAGATGGCGATAGGACAAGGGGGAATGGTTTCAAACTGAAAGAGGGGAGATTTAGATTAGATGTTAGGAAAAAATTCTTTACTCAGGTTGCCCAGAGAGGTTGTGGATGCCCCATCCCTGGCAGTGTTCGAGGCCAGGTTGGACGGGGCCCTGAGCAACCTGGTCTAGTGGGTGGCATCCCTGACTATGGCAGGGGGGCTGGAGTTAGATGATCTTTAAGGTCCCTTCCAGCCCAAGCCATTCTATGATTCTATGATAAATGAATTTAAAAATTGACAAGGTTTTCTGGTGTTAACAGAGCTTTGTGAGACCAGTCTGTGGCTGAATGTAGCAGCTCTGTTCTTTGGCCTCTGCATTGCTCCTGACTTCTACCTCTTCCTTCTCGTAGGAATCACCTGGGACACATTGCTGTGGTTCTGTGCCGGGTTCTTGTCACCCAGCACTACAGCTAGAAAAGTATATGGAGGGGGGTTCCTGGCACTGGTTTTGCTCACCATGTACAGGTGAGTGCTGAAAGCTGAACTTTTCCTGAATGTGTGACAGTCACTGTCTCAATGGAAACCTTAGTGCCTGTTAATTATCCTTCACCTTTGTCTCTGCCTCTCTTCTCTGCTAAACTTGTTGACATCATCAAGCCCAATCCTAAACCCTCAAATTTTATTAGATTCAGCATCTGTGTCCCAGTATACATTATAAAACATCTTTCCATTGCAGGGAATCTTTCTTTTATCCCAGCACTCACTGTGAACACTCTATTCTCCTCCAAACCCACAGCTCAGTGGTTTCTGATTCTAGTCCTCATGTCAGATGGTGCCACATCCCTCAAATACAGGCAAATTCTTCCTTGCTGTAGGTTTTATCAGCTGGCTTTTCTCCAAAGCTATTGCTTTCGAAGAAAAAATACCATCTGTGATAAAACTGTGTACTATGTATATATTGTGTTCAGCAGAGATTAGAAGGTCCCCAGTGGAGCTTAGAGCAGCCCAAAAACAAAGGTCCTGTAGGACATCTGTATGCACTACTCTGCTGCAATGTTCTTGAGACAGAAAACTCTGCAGTCCCTGATGAGCATTTGGTTTCTTTCCACAGCTTCTACCTCTTCCATCCTCTGTCTTACGGGATGATAGGACCCATGGCTTCTGACCCCAGCAGCCCCATGGCAGGGCTCCGGTGGATGGACTCCTGGGAGTTCTAGAGCCAGCAAAGGGAGCCTGGGAACAGCGGATGAGAAGCATGAGATCTGCCGCATGTCAGGCTGATTCTGGTGCTTTGGAAACATGTGACTGTAAAATGTCCTCTCTGGAGAACTCTGGGTATAGTAGCCCTGTTGCTTTGGCATTTGTTTGCACTGCCTGCATTGGAAGATGCAGAGGATGACCATGAGAAGGTCCTCTTAAAAAGGCTCCTGTCCTGAACCCTTAGGTTATATTCCTGGACAGCAAATCTCAATTTTTTTGAGCAATATATATCAGTCAAACAGCAGTGGCATTCCAGCTGTCAGACCAGTACAAGTTGGAGGCTGTGTGTAGTTGCGTGTTCACATGTGTGTGTGTGTCTTCCTTCTGGTAATCTAAGCATCATTGCAGTTTGAGAGCCAGACAGTGTCTGAGACATTAGGACTTTTATCGTGATTAACAACCTTTCTTATAGCGAGGTTTTTGAAAGCTTCATGTAAGTATCTCGGGACCTTCATTCTACCCTGCCCCGGCTGTCTGCATTTTTTTGTTCTGACCCTGAATTTTTAGAATTGGACTGAAAGGGGTCTGCTTGAAATCTCCTGAGCCACCGTGCCTTGCCTGTCTCCCAGGCCCTCTGCAGACACAGGAGATGGAGATTGTTTATCCCTGTATACTGCCTTGCTTTCTGGTCACCTTTAATCATTTATAACAATCACCTAGCGGGCCTGCGCTCAGAGCCAGACTGTTCCAGGTCAGCACTTTGTAGCTTCTTTGCAGTTCTGTCTGAAACCGCGAAGGAAATTACAGTGGAAATAGCAGGCAATTTATTTTCTGCCCCAGTATGCTGTGAAGACCGGCTTCTTGGGGGTGTACTAGAGACTGAAATGATAGCTTGGGAATTTTACAGACAGCTGTCATTCATGTTTTCATCCCAGCTATTCCAGTGCTAGTACCTGTGCTTTTAGGGGGAAGACTTCATCTTAATGAATGTGGCATCTGCAAAACTGGCTGTCAGTGCCATGGTATCTGCGCACTGTATTCCAGCAAGTTCCCTCTCATAGATGGCTGACCATCAAATTACTGTATTGAAGAAAATGTGAGGCCAGGCAAAAATTCTTTGTCTGCTAAGTGTCAAGAGCCATGGGATGCTGAAGCCACCCCTTCCAAGAAAGCGGAATACTATTTATCAGGTGCCTTTCTCCTGTGTTAGGTCTATTTTTGTAAGTGTTCCTTTTATTCCATCTCCTACTCTTTACCCAATTTCAACTTCTTGTCACAGTTCAAGCTTGCTACCTTGTAGCATCCAACATGAATGAGACTTAGACCTCAGCTGTGTTCCTGACCCCAGCTCTGTTCCTGTCTCAAGAACTAATATTTGCAAAACTCTTGTGTATGTTTCAAGGAACTCAAGCCTTTCATTTCAGAGTTCTTGCTCTACTTCTCAGGCTTGCATCAAAATTACAGGTACAGGGAGAGCAGCAGGTGAGTGTGTCTGTCTTTAAACATGAATTGTGCGTTCATTTCTCTTCCCAAACCTTGAATTCTAATGTATTTCCTACAACACAGAAGGGCTGTGTTAGCATAGTTGTTCTGCGTGGGGGCCTGAGACTCCAGTCAGACTTGTTTTCGTTCCTCTCTAATAGAGATCCATAGCATTGTTCAGTAAAGCAGCTGCTAGCTATTGTAAGGCTCTGGCTTGGGGTGTCGCATCTCTCTCCTGTAGACACTAACTCAGATGGTATGGACCTATGCTTTGATTCAAAAAGTTTTGAGTTAATCACCTGCTGGTAATACATGGTGGGAAGTCATTGCACTAATTAGCTGCTGGGTTTGATGATGCTTTTCCACTTGCTATCGCAGGAAGTGCTCCCACCTGCATGAGCCAGGGGTTCACAGCGGTGATATATAGGCAAGAAGGATGAGGGAGAAGGCTGCAAACTTCTTCAGATCCTGTTTGATTTGACAGTAGCTGCAAATTATTAACTGTTGGCAACATGGCAGGCAGACAGTGCAGTGCTGCCTTTGTAGCAATGTGATTCAGCATCTTCTACTCCTGGTGAGATTATCGGCCTAATACCTTGCTATCCTGAATATGAGCTTTCCCTAAGGTAGTCCCATTGCCATGGGGAGGATTTGCCAGAATAGCTGATAAAAGCTGTGATTTAAAGTGTAGGGTTTTTCCCAGCACATACAATCACACACATGCCCTTAACACTGACAGCAAAGAAAACTAAGAAACGCGTGAATGTTTTGAAATTACAGTTTCTAACACTCTTTATTCATCAAATTAAATCTGTGTGAAAGCAAAGATCGACTCAGTAACCTTGGTTGCTTCAGTTATTATGAAAGGGTCAGCTTTGTAGGAGCTGCCTGAGGAAGATAAGCCAGTGCGTTCCTTGGCCAGGGTCCCTCTATACTTTATTGCTAATAATCTTTTGGGTGGGAATTGGTGGCTGAGTTTGGGGATTGGCCAGCTGAAGGTAGCAAATGTCATGCTCCCATCCCACCTTCCTGTGCACGTGCCCAGCTGCTGTTTCAACGCAGACGAATGTTTATTTTTCTTTATGACTGACATTTCAGAAATCCTCTTGAGTGTATTTGATTGGCGCTGAGACTAATCTGTTTGTTAGGCCTCGTGTGCTGGTAAGGGGATAGAGGCATACAGGGAAAAAAATCTAGCTATTCCACAAGAGGGAGCTACCTCCAGCAGATATTTTTTTTTTTTTTTTTTTTTTTTAAGTCTGGAGTTAAAAATATTAAAAGGTCTACATTTGAAGACTAGAGGGCAGACATTTCCTCTGCACCCTCTGGACACCAAGGGCTGGGTTTTCAAGTAAGTGTGAATTGATGCTGCTCTGTTTTCTTTCAGGAGAAAAATACTGAAAAATTATTTTAGTTAGAATTTGACCTTCAATATTTGCTTCTCAAAACAGAACCTCTCAGGCCATAGCTGGAACATAACAGTAACCAGTATTTTGTGAGGTCAATAAGATACAATAATTGGGATTCCTTTACTGACTCTGACTTAAAATGTCTGAGTGGCGCAGACGTGAGGCAATGGGTGCAGGGCACTCTTTGCTTTCTGAATGGAATTTGGGCTGCTTCGGTTCAGTTTTTCCATTTGTGCTTGTGGAATGACTTTGGGTTCATTTTGAGGACTGTGTATTAGTCTTCTTCCCCAGTCATGTGGAAAATAGCTAACGGTGCTTTCTGAGGTCAGAAGATGCTGTTCTCTGGAGCAGCTGCTCTCTTTCAACTTTGCTTGACAGGGCTCCTTTTATCACTGGCAAAGTATTTCATCAAACTGTATCCATGGATTCAAATCACAAAAAGCTGCAGGCTGCCACGTTCCCTGGTTCAAATTCCTTTTTATGTGTAAACTCTATTTTCACCTCTTCAGTCTTTGGAGGATTGATAGAAGGCCTCTAGGCTCATCTAGCTTCATCCTAGACAATCCATCCATCTTAAAAGGTTTCTGTTAACAGTCGCTTCGGGACACCGATGCACCCACCCGTATTCCAGCAGCAGGGACTGGCCTGTTTCCAGGAACTGGACTACTCATGCTATGAGACACAGATGTGATTGTGAGGAGGATGTGAATTCCTCTGCCAAGGTTGCCCTTGGTCCAGGTGGAGGACTTTTGTATGCACTGCTTACCAGCATTGTTCACAGCCCTGTGGGTGGGAAAGCCACCACCACTCTCTCATCTGCAGAGAGTTTTCTTTTTGCATCTGGATTGGAAGGGCTTGTTGATGCACAAAGGGCATTGACAGGATCTACCTTTTTGTATCTCCCTCCTTCCTTCTGCTTCTTCAAGTATGCCCAAAGTACAGGACATGTCTTTGCTTCTCCTCCGATTTTTAGGCTGTGCATCCATTTCTTACGGGTGCCTTAACAAGGGGTAGGACAGGACACCTCATAGTATCCTGAGTGGATGAATACCTGTCACATGCATTGAGAGCAAAACCAGAACCTTGTTATGGAAAGGTAAACAAATGTGTTATTTGACAGCTCCCTCCTGTCCCTTCTGAATCCCTCTGAGAATAGTTTTCAACGGACTTGAGAGTGAACCAGCTGTCAAGATGGGAACACAAGCATTTGCCTGAAATTCTCCATTGCCACGCTTAGCAGCTTCCCTTCGGCGGCCTGCGTGACTTACCCTCTGGGTTGGCACTCTGCACACAAGTACCATTATAACACTGTTTCCTCCTCTCAGGATCCTGCTGCCAATGTGAAAATCTCCTTAGCGGTGCTCTGTGCCCCCGCCAGCTGGGGAATATAGGTAAGATTTTTTTTTTATTTTTTTTTTCTCCCCCCTTTACGGCAAGTGACCCCACACATTGGCAAGTGTGTGTCATGAAAGCAAAAATGTGTGGACTGTTAGAACATCATAAGGCTCTTTCCTGCTGGGAAAGGAACGCTGAGGATAAGAACACCACCTCCATGGCACACTTGCTCTCTTCGGGGGGCTGTGGGCTGCAAGCAGTCAGGACTGAAAATTGTCTCTGTCTTCTTTAAAGTACTAAGGCCTTGGTTGCATGGTTCGTTGTGAGTTACTTTACTTTTTAAGCTCCCTTATGCTCCTTACTTGAATGTCAAGGGCTATGGTTGTCACAAATAATATCTGAGGTAAGGGACATAGTAGCTGCTGAATCTGTAACTGGTCCTAAAACTTGGCCAAGTGAGTTTATTGTGTTTTACAAGAGGCGCTGTTTAGAGCCATCCTTGAAGAACATGCCCCTGACTGAGCAAGAGTTTGGAGCAGCAGTGAGAAGGGTTCTTTTGTAATTCTGTCCTATATCCTGAACCTTTCTTACTAACACTGCGTGTGCGCGCACATGCACCTGTCCATGAACTGAATGTCTTCTAACTAAGGTGTAATTACTGCACCATACAGTGTGAATGGGAGAATGTTCCCATGAGCTATAAATGTATTTTGTACAGGAGATCATGGAAAATGAGGTAGAATTTGGAATTTAATTTTGTAATAAATACCTTTTCTTTCAAGCATTGTCTTTGCGTCTAGATCTTGGTGGGGTTTTTCCGCTTTCCTCTCTCCCTCACATGCAC